TTTTTTTTAACTCAACGGGAGTCTGAAATGTCATTTCAACTGTTTCCATCCCCAATAGCATGGAGGTATATATAATTCATCAGAAGCCACCTTATAGCGTTTGCAGAATTATTCCTTGGTCACTAACACCAATTATCTTCAATCCCATTCTAAACAATATGATTAAACGTTTTTAGTTCAATCAGAGAATGCTTTCATGAGGCCTGCATCCGTAGCGAAGTGGATGTTTGAAGTGCTGAATTACTCAACAGAGTAAGATTCACTTCTGTGTTTTGCAATGAAATTCGACATTGAAGTGCCGTCGAACAAGCATCTTCCCGGTCCTCAACCACCTAATCTACACATTAATCTATACGCGCCTCTCTAGCACTCATGCAAATCATCAAAACATCCTTCCCTTTCCAAGAGATATTCGTACTGATTCTTTTTCTCACGACTTCTTGGTATGTCAATGAACAAGTTTGACGAAGTTAGATCTCTTAACAGCTCCAAACATGGAATTCAAAAGAATTTCACCATATCAAAATTATACTTCAAAAATTCCTCGAAACTCCTCTCTCGCATGTTGAACAATCGTCTAATTACTACGTATCGGCTTGCGAAATTGTGGAAATTTCAATTTTAATTACAAGTCCACTTATCATCAATCTATAGCTTTCGGTCCCAAAGAAGTTACCGCAAATGTTCCGATACGGACCGAAAATACATAACGTATTCCTCTAAATCGGTTGTTGAAGGTTAATGCATGATCTCGCACATAAAAATGATATGGTCGAAACGAATGCAACTTCAAGGCTAACGTTGTCATGTTTTCGAACGAAAGTCCCGGATCCAGCCATATCTGACTGAACAAGACATCAGCAGTGAAACTTGACGCAATTTCAGAAATACTTGTAATGGCTTGTATAATGAGATCCACTTTCACATCAACGCCTTCCGCAATTGGTACTGTTTTACGATCGTACGATAGCATTATGTATTCTAGTACTGACTAAAAGTACATTTACATACGCCAATGATTAATGAAGACGAATGGCAATTCATTACATCTTGCTACATCGGAAGGTGGTCATCGAATTTTTGAATTCTTCACAGCTATGCTAATGCAATCCCATTCAACCGAACAATAGGATACGATACTTTGATGATAATACAATGCATCCATCACTGATTTTTATCACCGCCAATCAGCTGACTAAAACTGTTTCACTCTGTCGCCAATTTTAAACGCTGTCAATAAGATCACTGAAGAATGGCCTCAACGGGCTGTGAATACTAAAGAATCGAAACAGAAAACAAACGGTTAACTTTTCGCAGAGCTTTGTCTCGATTACCAGTGTAAGCTATTTCCATTCTCATGATCAGTCGGTTTCTGTGACGTACCCATAAATTGCTGTTTATTTGAGAAGCAGTTCTGACGGTTACGGATTATGACTGTTACTTGAGTTTACCAAGTCAGAAACTGCATCCGTATTCCAGATTTCCGTCTATCGAACAGAGAAGGTTGCTCATACTGCTGTTCGATTCAACTGGGAAAAGCCATTGCATCATGACATCACTAACCTTTGCAAGCGTATCGTTATTCATAAGGCAATGATCTTGGTGCAGATCAATGATATCAGGACGCCGTAAATTGGCTTCTCGTTTCCTCCTCACTCTGTCCATCACCTTGAAAATATCGAATTATCGCATATTGAGGCAATGAGATATGAGATACCACCCTAGCTTGTCATATTCACTGTCTTATCTGTTCGTAGGTATACATCATTGGAATGACACATGAATCAGCACTTCTTGTATGAAACCACGT